GTATGGCTTTCTGAGTCTCACGTGTCTGGCCTCCCTGTTCATGGCTTACTATCCTCTCCAGTGTGTAACAGAAGTTGGTGCAGAGAAAAATCAGAGTAAGAAGCTTGTTTAAGTCAAGGTAAACATTTAGTTTTAAGATTGGCACTGTCAGCTCAGAACTAAAAAGTCATCAGGTAAAGTGCTAGGTGGCAAAAGCTGAGCTAAGTGAAGCTTTCCTCTGGTCACTGCTTTTGGGGATGAACCTTCTACACCAGATTGCCGAGGGGAAGGCCAGATATATCAAAACAGCAAGGCCATTTTCCTCTACTACAAACTGATGTGTATATGTTTGGGTTTTTGCAATGAGCAAAAAGTGAGTTAAAACAAATTAATATGAGACTATGACATCATAAAAATTCAAACATCTAAAAATTAAACCAGGCAGGAAATGTAAAATTTTAAAATAACCAGTTCCTTTAAGCCAGTAAGCCAAATTTATTGTTTGGAGGATTAACTTCTCTACACATAGAATATATGTTTCTGAAATATAAAAGTGATAAAAGTTCTAAAACTATGGGTATATGCATCTCATGTAAAACAGTGCTTCTCTGTTCTTTCCAAAAAGCATCCACGCAAGAAGTTCCAGTCACTCCCTGCTACCCCAAACCAAAACAAACAAAAGCTCTGCATTTTCCCACGGTTTCAGATATTTAGGCTGTCTCAAATTTCTATGTATATGAGAGTATGTAAAATAAATGTCCTTCAAGAGCATGCATTAATTCATTTTAGGAGACTAAATAACTGGGCTCAATTTTCAGTTATGGGCATAACCCTAAATTATTATTCACGTAATAGTTTTTCTTAAATTTTTCACTATTGAACCTAAGACAGTCACAATTTAATTTTTTTTTTTTAATCTGAGGTAAGGTCTTATTACATTGCTAGGTTTCCCATGCTGGGCTCAAACTTTTAATCTTCCTACCTCAGCCACCCAGAGTGCTGGGCGCCCAGACATGAGCTGCCACATCTGGCCAGCAAGTTCTATTTTTAGAAGGAAATTTTATGAGCATATTTTCCTCTAAAGAAATAAACTCATGGTATAATATTCTTTAGGGAAATAACTAAGTCACCTAAGATATATAACATTTTTTAAAAGGCAGAAGCTATTGTTATCTGAGAATTTTATAAAAGCAGTGGGTAAGTTAATAATCCCTGAAGAAGAAATAGCATTTAGTTGAGGCTGCATCTGGTCCTGTCACTGCAGGATGCTCGGAGCACGGCTGACATCACGATCAGTGGCTACATATTCTAAGATGGCAATTCCGAATGTGCCATATTCCACGGGCTTCCAGGGAAGGCACGGACATTCCATGACGGTGCCACAGGAACGGAAAGCATTGAAAGTCAGATCAACAGATGAATTGATTCTTCTTACCGGGTGTGAGTCATTATTTTCAAATTCGCGCATAACGCACACAACCCTGGAAGTAATGGTCATAAACACTGAGCACGGGCGAAGGACGTCTTTGTGGGTGATCCTTGCTTCTTGAAAGGTCTTATTGAAGACACAACCAGTCTGGTTGTGAGCAGGGAGGAAAAGGGCTAGTGAGCGGTAACAAAATGGGTAACAGACCTGGGGGGAAGGGAACAGGGGGATGGAGCAAGAGCCCGCGTGGACTAAAGAGCCTCCGGGTGGTTGTGGTTGCGACAGGGTTGCTGCAGCAGGCGCGCAGCGCCTAGCGAGCGCTCCAGGCCGGAACCGGAAACAATCTCGAACGCGCCTCTCCACCCCCACGCACCCGTGCTGCACGGCCGGCCTGGCTGACAGTCACGCTCAGAAACTTTCATAGCCAAGCTTTGCATTTAAAGATTAAAGGCCTTACACAAGTGCTGTAAAAAAAATTCAAGTGAGCATTGTCTTGATGTAGATCAGCCGAGGAGCTCAGGAGGGGAGACGTGGGCGAGCCCTGTGACTGGTCCTGTGATCTCCACGAGCGGCCTTCCTCGCCGCCGGGCTCCCTGGGCATCGGGCTCGGCTGATGCCCGTTCTCTCCTGTGCTCGCTCCCCCCAGTTTGCAAGAAGGCAGTCTCACTTTTTACTTACACTACTCGCAGCATTTCGTTTAGTGTGCTATTTTATTTCAAAGCATCCAAGAGAGTGGTCAGACGAACAAAACTTGCTTCAGAAAGTTACACTGACCCAGCTCTACAGACGCAGAGCTGAAACCCTGCTGCACATCAGTGATTCAGGCCTAGCCACGCCTGTGTAAGTTCCACACGCTTAAATATCGGAGGCATGTAAAAACCGTCCCACTGCCATAGACGTACTATTGTTAACTCAACAATATAATTCTTTCTAATCAGATAACCACTGTGAAATACCTGATTCACTCTGCCCCCAACAGCTGGGATGCGGCCGGTGTTCCCAGCCAGAGCTCAACACAAGCACAATGGGAAGGGCAGAAACAGCTGCAAACTCTTGCGGGGAAAAAAATGTGCAAAGTAACTCTGCCATCAGGGTTCTGGGTAGGAAGGAAGTAGAATCATTTTTGTTGCTTTTCATGTATGGCAGCTGTCTCTGGAGAAAAAAATATGGCCATTCTATTTTGTAACAGAAACTCCACAGTATTTATTAAAATGTGAATTGTGGAAACAGGCTGGCTACGGAGTTAGCGTTTTAGCCCTGTCAAAACATTTGCAGAACTGGGTAGGAAGCACTACTGGGCCAGATCTGACTGGACAGTCTCCGAGCTCCGCTCCACACCCAGCCCCTTCACCGAGCAGCATTTGCTGTAAGCAGCCTGGATTTCAGCAGTGTTGATTATCCGACTCTGCAAATGCTGTGGGTTTATTTGTATGAAATTTAGTGAAATTCTTTGGGAAAGTGTCAGAGAAATCAAGCTGTCCCCTGAGCCCTTTGTCTATATGAGCTATTGTTGAGTGTTTCTTTTCCCCCTCTACTAAAATTATAGCTCCTTAAAGGTAAGCTCTGTGGCACCATTTCCCCCGTGTCACTCATTTCCTGGGCAAGCAAATCTAGTATGTTCCCAACACACATTTGACGACCTTGTTTTAAAAATGCAGAAACACCAAAGTACTTTCATGAAATAAGTATCTATTTTCATCTTTTTTTTGCTCCGAATGCCTTCAGGGCAGGTTTGGCTGGCTTGAGTTGTGGGGATCGAACCACAGCACCCTGAGCCTGACTGCTTTGTTGAAGCAGCCACTTAACGAACTGAGCTACGGGGCAGGCCCCCCATTTTCATCTTTTGTTTTGGTATAAGGTAGTACTTTTTATACACATGCTAGGAGACAAGAATAAAATACCTGCTATAGCATTTCTATTATTAGGAGATGGATAATTCTATATGCCTTGGTAGTGGGGCCTCTTTGTCATTAAAGCGATCTATTTAAAAATGGGATTTTATTAGAACATTAACATCTGGAAATAGACCAGGAAATCTTTGATGTTAAAAGAATAAAAAAACCTGTCAGACCTAAAGTGGCCATAGAGGCTTACTAATGTGAGCCTAAATTGGCAAGATAATGGACAATTCAGGAAAAAAAAAAAAAAAGAAAGAAAAGAAAAGCAGAAATGAAGATAAAGGGAAGCAAGCCAATATCATGAATGCATTAAGAATTCAAGCGATGTAAGCTTCTCTTCTGCGCATTTGGAATTTTATAAAGTATCATCAACATACATTAAAGATATACGAACACAAATTAATACTACAAGGAGCACAGAGGCAAGCATACTCAGACACATTAGCGTGCATGCCTGTGCGGGGAACTGAGCTACCCTCCTTCAGATTATGAGAAGTTAAAGACATTAATAAGTGGCCAGGCTGGGAGAGATGAGTAAATAAACATAATGGACTGGAGGAAGGAGGGGCAGAACCAGCGTGGATGGCTGCGCGGGACAGAGGCAGGGGACACGAGTATGGGACCATCTAGGCCACATGATCGTGTGGTTACTTCCGAGCTAGGAAGCTTTTATGACTTTGAAAGACTCCACCCTGCTCAGTAAGACAAAACGAACATGATTTGTGGCTCTCAAGATGGGACAACAACCAAAGTCCACACTGCGATAAAGAGAGTGGCAATTTAAAAAACACAGTTCAGAGAGGAAGACAGATATGGTGCACGAGGAGTTGGAAGTCACAGGAAACATCAGTGCCCCTCAACTGGTCACCAGCAACTGCTGTCTGACCCGGACGCTCACTGTATCAGGTAACTACGAAACAACATTTCCCTTCACAAGAAATTTCTAGTGTTCAGAGACATTTAACGTTTCCATGAAGGTCATTGTCATTCTGCAGTGATCAAGAATCTACTGATGAATCATACTGAAAGCAGTAATAAATATTAAAGCAGTAAAATAAATCCAGCGCTAGAGCATGTTAATTTCCGCAGAGCGCTAGGACTCCTGTAGCTAGGAAACATGGTGACTTCAGTCAAGTTTAAAGCACAGACACTGATTTTATGGAAATACTGCTGCTAGCCATTACGGTGCTCCTTAATGCCCGTCTCCCTCCTTACGCATCTGAACTTCTCTGCATCTAGCCCACTGTTCGGCGGGAGACCCCGAGTTACAATGGGATTCTGCCCGTGACATCCCAACTCCTGCCAGTCCTTCTCAATGCTGTGAATGTTTCTTCTCATGGAGATGCCTAGCTCACACAATGGCTTGCCTTTGATCCGCAGTTTCCCTTGGAATAGGAAAACATTGCCTGGAAGTGCTTGAATTGTTTCATTTTTACTTTCCAATCATGTGATAAAAGTTATGAATGGAAAAAAAAACCCCTCAAACCATTCCAAAAAAGCAAATTAAAGCAACCACTTCAAAAACTTAACAAAAATAGGCCATACACTTCATAAAAAAGTGGGACAGCCGTCCCTGTTTGGCTTTTAGTCTGTCTCTAGCTTCTCCTGTCATTTATACATTACTATGTTTGCAGCAAGTATTTTCCTGCAAGAACAAAACCAAACTAATTGCCTCACACTAGGTAGAAAGCAATTACCTGCATGAAACGACCCTCTGCCGTCCCAAGATTGGCAATGGTGAGATCTCCTTTAATGAAGGTCGATATCGATGTTAACAGAACTTGCTTGAATTGGCCTGAGAACAAATCAACGCGCTGCAAAGCGGTGGTGAACTCTGTCCGATACTCGTCTCTGCGAACTTCACAGCCTGAGGAGTTTCTCAGCAGTGTCTAGGATAAAACACGACCACAGAGTTAGCAGGAGTTCAGATGTGAGTAAGCTGGTAGGAAACTTCTGAGTGTGCTGCTTCCAAGCTGGGCGGGGCATGGCCAGAACAAAGGTGCAGTAAGACAGCTCCGGACGGGCACGAGCGGTTCTAGTGACAGAAGTGACCCCATTTTCTAGACACTGCTGTATACACTCACATTCAAGACCTGAAGGCCCACACTACTGTCACAATTCACACCACTGTTCTGTATATGTGTACATAAAGATGGAATGAAGCAGATGACATTGAAGGAAAACCAAAACATGAACTATCTCAGCCCTTGACAAAAAAGTAATGCCATTAGCAGGCAAGGCCTGTAAGATGAATCGTGGCTGGAACAGCAAAGGCTGGAGTCATACCTTAAGATGTGCACCCTCGCACATTTCTGTGCACAGAAGCGGTCTGGAGTGGTGGTTCAGTAATTGGACAACTCACGGCGGGGCAGCGGAGAATAGGTGCAAGTGCTCACGTCAAAACAGGTTTCCAGTGCTTATTCGCTTTCTGTAAACCCTACAAGCTCTGTGTCCAGAAAGTCACATGACCTGTGTTTCATGTCCCTCATCTATAAAACAGTATATAGAAACGGTACCTCTCTTACAGAATTATTGTAAAGATTAAACAAGCTATTTTATATTAACCCGTCATCTCCAGCCCAGCCTGGGGGGCTTCACGTCATCCCGCCTCTCCCCGACTTCTCCAAGTCTCCGTCCACCAGTAAGAACAGAACTTCTTCCAGCTCTCCACATAGGCCAGGTGCCACCCCAGCAAGAGCTGTGGCAATGCGGCTCCCTCTGTCTGGAATACTCCTTCCACTTGTGTCCACTGTGCTCACTCCTACACCTCTCACTCGGACCTTAGCTTATTGCCACTTGCTCAGGAGGCCACCCTGACGCCAGTGTCAAGGGCAAACAGTAGAGTTTCATGGTACCTTTTACCTACATGCCATGGATAACACAGAATAGTTATGACACAGTCATAACTGCAGCTTCACATTTGCTGATAAGTTACGAGGTAAAGTGGAGCTTCTGCGTGGATCTGGCAGTAAGGGAACCTGCTGGTTCACCACCATACTGTGAATAATAAACTAAATATCAGACATAGAAGATAACTAATAAAGGAGCAACTAGGTGAATCAATGATAGGTAGATGGGCAGTAAGTATGGAGATATGAGCCAAAATTATTTGCATTTTGAGGGTCAGGAGTGGGTAAAGCATTTATGTGGAACAATAAAAATGGTTTGCATTTCACTGTTCCAGTGGGCAATGGGGAACTGGCAAGGTGGGGCAGACGACGGGGTAGGAGGACGTGTGAAGGAAAATCAAGTCTATCTTGGAAAAAAGGAGAGGAAAAGTTCACTCTTCCACAGCTACATTGCTACAAGTCCAGGAAGATTGGTAAGCTAGCAAGTCTCTATTATGAGCCTTAATCAGAAAATTATCATAATCAGAAAATTGTCATAGTAGATATCAAACCCAACTACTTTTTAATTTTACAAATGAAAACACTGATCCTTCTATACGGTAACCTTAACTGTCTATCACACGGAATGCAAAGTTCTTACAACTGGACTTTTATGGCTGAAAGTCACCGCGGATGTTCTACTTCTACATATCAGTGACTCCTTCATTTAAGTGGCAAACTGAGAGTCTCAGAGATGCTAAAACCCCTGACTCTCATAATTAGTGAAATATGCACAAAATAAGACAATTAGGATGAATTAATAAAATGTCACCCCTAGACATTTATTTTGATGTATTAACGAAACCTATTTCACTAATTAGAAGCTTTTCTTCTATAGATTGCTCTGAGTAGTAGCAGAAAACTGGGATGTATCTGCAACCCAATAGTAATTGATTAATTGATAATTCTGTTTCTATTGATGACCAATCATCCATTTTGCAGAGACAGCCAGAATGCAGGGAACCTTACTTAAAACAGCAAAGACTAATTTTAGTCTGAAGCCGCCTGAAGGGCTCTATTTCAGAGGCGGCTGCTCTTCAGGGCCAGGGCTCAGTGGCTGTTGATCCTCTCCTGCTGGGCCTTAGTCTTTTGCTCTGTGCCGACCTGTGTTTTTTTGTTTTTGTGTTTAGTAAAGGGTCTACAGGGTCTCACTACACAGACTGGACTCTGTAGTGATCCCCGTTTTCAGCTTCCCAGGTGCTGGGATTACAGGCGCACGCCCACGCCCAGTCTCAGTCGCTGTCTCAGCGCGCCCGGGGGGTGGGACCCGCATGGCACGCGGGGGATCTGACTCACGCGTTTAGTCCGCTGAGCTATCTGGCCAGCCCTCTGTGCCTACTTGCTGTCATGGGAACTGTAAAGCCTCAACCTTGCCCTGGGGTGCAGCACAGTGGCACCTGAAAAACAATGGATTCCCTGGGACAGGAAAACAATTTGCGGTGTGTGGAGGAACCTTTGTAAGCCACTGGCAGCCTTTCATCAACTAGAGGCCAGGCGCGGTGTTCACACCTTTTACACTCAGGCTCCACAGTGCTCCTTGTATACAGCAGGTACTCAGCACTTGCGGAAAAGCTAATGTAACTGCAAAGCCACCAGAAACCCGCAGCCCCTCCATCTTGCTGTGTGGGCTCTCCTGCC